TCACAATTTTGATTCTAGCATTGGCTTCGACATTTTGCATATGACTTCTAATAAATTCCTTCTGAATAACTTTGAGAACCTGGAAATTTAAAAAAATATTAAATCTGGCCGCTCCTGCTCTCTGAATGCACAAATTCAATTTATTAGTAACCCAACGTTCTCTGCGCTTATTTAAATTAATTTCAGACTTATACCCCCACTCATTTGATCTTCAATCAGTTACTTACCACAAATCAATTAACTCTCGCAATTTAGATTTTCTTCTCTGTTTCCATTAATTTTTGCCCACTCGCATCTTATTAAATGTTTCTTTATAGTTTATTCAAATTCTCCCACGTGGTTGTCATACGCCAAAATTTGACATTCGTACTTGTCAACTTAGTTTCCGTTTCCTGTAACAGTAATTTTTCTTTCGATTATCTGCTTCAAATTTTCTTTTTACATATGAATTTTCATATTTTCTTGTTTAGTGTTCTAATTTTCTTGTTAGAATTTTTTTGCTTCCTCATTTCCCAGTTTAATATTTTTACTTTCAATAAATTTTGTCACCGCCATCTATACTCACTTTCAGTAAATAACACCTTTGTTAGTACACTATTTATCCGCTAAATTTAAAATTTACAGTTTACTACATTGATTCGTTAAAAATCTAGATAGATGTCTTGAGAGTCTGATAATTTTTACTTTTTACTTTTTTACTTTTTACTTTCATTAATTGACGTTATATCCTTAAAATTTTAAACTGTTTGTGCTTGTAAAACTATTTTGTGTTGTTTAGTTAATAATTATCTTATATGTGTTTTATTAATTTATTCAAACAGACATCTCGCGGTTTAACCTAACCTAAAAATTTTTTTTAAAAAATACTATTGTATTACATATGACTTTTTTAACTCGTTTTGTTAAACTTTATGTAGCGCTTCCTTTATGGAAATAGTCAAGGTGAGTCAAGGTTATTGTTTAACTTTCTTTTGTGTTTTTTCTGTTATTTTGTTATGTTAAAGTCCGTTCATGCTTTTATAATTGTTTTTTATTACAACTGACTCCTTGACATTCCATTTAGGTGTGCCTGATGATGAAGTGACAGCTTCGAAACCGGTCGCCAATTAAATTGACTTGTGAGAAATAAAGGACCTTTTCTTTAACCCCTTACACTTAATCCCTACTACTCACATATGGCTACCCTCACTCCAAATCATATAGTTTTATTTAAAAAGTAAACCTTGTCATAAATGAAATATAAATGATTATTAAATTACATTATTAAAATATATAATATAAAACAAATTGTTATACTGTTTTTCTGAAATCGGTAGCGTTGTCAGGTTTGTTACTGTCTGCTGTGTAGATAGCAGGAAATCAGAATTTCAGTAAATAATTATAATTTTATTTTAAAATATAAAAAAAACATTATATGAAAAATGTTGTGTCGAGGTACGTCTTGTCTTGTCTTTTTCGAAATCCGTAATCAATCAATCTTTTTGTTTTCTTTTTCCATGGTTACCATCCATTGGATAAGTAGGGTGCTAGTGTACGCAGCTATCGACCAAGATCATAATATATGTGAATTATAATGGTACCATCTGACATTGACACTTGACCAACCTCAAATAAAAACTGACTAAGAAACCTTAAAATAAATTAGGCATTCCAAGGGCCTGTCAAACAATATGTGCCAGTGGGAAATTCTTGTATATCTAAGTCTTGCAACTTGGACGCTATTTTTATTCGAAGTAGTAGTCGCCAAGCCTGCCAGTTTATGAAGAAATGTATAGGTAGGTTTTTTAAATATTATTTTTATTTTGTTTGACATAAAATATTTAAATGTAATCCATTATTCATGATTTTACGCAAAGTAGATGGAATACACCGTATGTCGCCACCCTTAGATATACCAAACCTTCCCACTGGCAATTCATTTGTTTGGAATGCCTAATTGACGTAAAAGTCAAAACTAAAGGTAAGACTATGTGGTGCTATGATGTCGCCACATGCTGTTAACTGTAATGCATACAAGCGAACATAATAAACCTACTTATTAAGTACATTAATATGAAAACCCCATAATAAATCTGGAAATAATACATTTGAAATTTTCCTACTTATTTTTTCATTACTGCTATTATCTAATAGAACATTTTCCACAAATAAATATAAAGAAATAATTAGTAAAATTATAAAATGAGTTCCAATGAACTATATTATTAATTTAAATTGTTAATATAAGAAATGAATAAATTAAGTACGTAAAAGTGTAATAATGGGAAATGTGTAAATTGTTTTTATTTCTAATTTTATAGAATTTTGTGTGTATTGTTAATTTTCTTTCTAATATAAAATTAATAATTTTAACAAAAATTTAATAAGATGTTTTATTTGTATTAGAATCCGAATACAATAATATAATATATTAATATAATAATTACTTTGTATTTCAAATACATAGTATCTATAACTTATCAATAAATAAAGAAATATTTAGTTGTTAGGTATAAAAAAATATTTCCTATTCCTAAATTATTAACACTCCGCCCCCAGTGGATAACTTCGGTAACTGTATCAGTAATACTTTGAACATTCTCGTCTCCTTCGAGAAGTAGTTCCATCGTAAGTAATGAAAGCAGGAATAGCATTTTTTAGGTAGTTTTTTTTATATTTGCACTGCATATTAAATAATGGTAATCTTGTAATTGAAGGGCCTAGAAATGCACCTGTCTGCACCATTCTTGTTCCGGCTAGTTCTGATAGTTGGAATCGTAAAATATAGTTGCAAGGTTATATTTAATTACTTGGAACCAGAGAATAAGCATATTGAAATTACTTTCAATCATCTATTTACCAATGTTTACATCAGTTAAAAATTAAAAAATTCTGAAGATTTTCAAGTAATACGATCGTTATTTTTAATGTTAATAATATCTTTCAATAGTGATAATAACAAAATTCAAATTTGTGTAAAATTCTATACTTCAGTGCATAGTGGTGTGAACATGTGTATTTCTAGACCTGTCAACTACAAGATAACCTTAAATAATTATTAGGTACATCAGAAAAAATATTATTTAAATTAGAGAGTTACTGCAAATTTCTATAACGACAGCCACTAATAGTGATAACGTAAATTCAATACACAAATCACCAACATCTTGGACCCCGAACTATATTTATTTATATAAAGTGATTATTCTCTTATAAAAATACAGAATAGAAAAATCTTAAATATTTCTTACAACTCAAATTTTTATTTACTCAAAATAAGTACTTCTATAAAACCTAATAAATAGATTTAAAGAACTGAAACAAAACACATTTGGGGATGACTATTATTAAACAAATATATATTTAACAATAAAAAGACTACAAGTAAAATAAATTTATCATAGTATCTATTTGCTTCATGTAACCAGAGATAACTTTCTAGCATTGTAATCAGGATAAAAGGAATAAGCCAAAGATTTTATTTATTCGCAGGGTCAGAAAAATATCAAAATATAGGTACCTATGTATATGAAATTTATATCATGAACACATTACATAGGGTACAAGTCATAACATTATTAGTACCAAGGAGAAAGGATAAATAATAAGAAATATTATTTATATAGTAAAACTTTATGCTAATAATTTTTTTTTATTACAAAAAAGACCAAGTTGAATAACCTATTTACATAACCTACACAATTATTTAAAACGTAGACATTAAAAATATTTACTTGAAAAATAACGTTTCCTAGTAGATTTCTTAGCACTTTTTCACCGATAACATAATTTACATTAAAATGTTTTTCACAAATGGAACTTTTGGGTTTAAATGTTCATTTTCGTACCACCAATAAATAATTTGCACCATATATTATGTATAACTGTTTTTTTGCATTATTAAACTGCTATTAATATGTTGAAGACCTCACCCATAATCACAATTAAAAACAGCACAACGATTCACCATGATTTATTATTTATTTTAAGATTTTAAAAAATATTTATCTGTCAACACTTCAAATTGTAGCTTCTTCTTTTATATTTTATTTACTTTCTCGCCGGATAGATACTAGCGAACCTAGCGGATTTTGGCTAGGAAGTAAGCCAGGTTTAATCACCGTTTTTATTTGTTTTTAAATGAGAGTACACCGTGCTTTAGTTTTAAATGATTTATATTTTTTTAGGTTACAATCATGGCGGAACTTATGTATTAAATATGACTGTGCTTAATAACTTAATTTTGTCACCGTTAGGGGCACCTCAGCACTCGAATTGGGCCATTATTATTTATTTTGTTTAACGACATTTTAAGTATCAATTCTAAGAAATTTTTGTTTGCTATAGTATTGAAAATTTATAGAGAAATTAAACATACATCAGATTGCAATGCTCTTTAAAACGACCATTTATCAACCATTTATCAACTATTTTAACTGGTATAGCTTAAATAAACAACCTTTGATCATTAACGAATGCACAGTTCTGCACGCTACACAAATTCAAGAAAATATTATCTACTGAGCCCCCCAGACAACACGGTATTATTTGCAGTAGGCGTAGACAATTAAATTCGAGATTAACGCGCATCCCCTCTTGAGACAAATTAGATTGCGATGCCTGTAAGCGCCTGTAATTTTTTTTATTTTTGTAATTTTGACAAGATTTTAGTAGATAAAATTTGAAAGACGTTTTTATTTAATGGTGAATTTTGAATTAAAATTTTTAACTCTCTGTATCTGGGTAAGTAGGCTCTTTAAGAGTTCATGTCTTATATCAAAATTCGTCAATTAACGAGAGTTCTCTCCGGTAGAGCTTTGTCGGTCAAATATACTAACATCCTCACACCTCCAGATATTTGTTGTTTTGTCACTGTTTAGAAATATTCCGATAACTTTCCATGCTAGTTTCATGCTTCTTTTAATTAAAACAAAAATTTCGGGAAACAGTTTTTATCATTACATTTAAAAAATAATTTATGAAATACAATGATTTATCATAGAAATGTAATATAAAAAATTCCTAAGGCTAAACATAATAACTATAGAAGTAGTAACTGACTTATTATATGCTTTGATAAAATAAATGATACAAAATGTAACTAAATAAGTAAATGTTAAAACATGCACTGAAACAGATTCTTTTTAAAAAACTTTAGACATGGTGATTATTTACAAAATTGCTGCGACATATCAGGTTTTATTCTGTAATTCGCATCTGACTTTCTACCAAATGTTACCATCATAAAAAATAAAATAAAAATCGTGTTCCAGCTATCAAGAGTTATTTAAAATCGATCTATTAAATGAGTTCCTGTATGAATAATATAATCATATAAATCAAGTATTACAAGAAATCAGAGTCTGTAGTACAATTTTTGTTTTAACTGGACACTGCTGATTAAAAATAGAAGCAGCGTCCCTTCACTTTCATTTTTTTTATAAACAGATTGTATTTTTGAAAGCAATACTCTGCATTAAAGTTTGAACAAAATTGTAGTTTTAAAATATTGGAATAGGATGTTCTGAATTTTATTAACTCTAAAATAATTAATAAATAGTATACATTTACATGAAGAAAGTCAACTCTATTACTATGAAGTATCTACTTAAAATGAAGATAAAGTACAAAGTCACGGGATAAAAATTGAAATTCTTACAAAAACAATGAGTACACATACTTTAAAACGTATTCTTAAACTTAAATAAAATCTTATATAATTAACACTATTATTTTAAAATGCAGATTAAAACATTTTCAAATTTAACTAGATACTTGGTTACCTACATTTGATACTGCCCACTATTGAGAGCTTTCAAAACCATTGTACTTTGTCCAACAAATATTTGTTACGTCACTGTTTAGAAATATATTCATGATTTTTTAGGCTATTTCTAAGTTTTTCCTATCTAAAACAGAAGAAAGTTTTTAACAATTAAACAATGTTTTATTTAAAAAAATTCTATGTTTAAAACATAATAAATATAGAACAAATGTCTCAACTAATGTTAAAATCAGAAATTGTATTCATTAATAGGAGTTGGGAAAAATGGTGTCTTCTGTCATTGAGCAGTCATTGAGGAATTATTTTTTCAAAGATATTGTTTACGGCAAATCTGTAAGCATTCTTCTTACATTCAGCATTACTGCCTATTAATTCAATTTTTATATTAGGTGATTTAGTATAAACTTTGCTATATTAAGTAATACGGAATATCACTAAATAAGTAAAAGTCACTGGGTGATTTTAAAATATAATAACTTCTGACTTGTAAGGACTTTCAATTTTTTTTTTTTGATTTGGAAACAAGAAGCTTGGAAGATATGTCATGAGGAAATTCACCGTTGCCCAAAGAGTCGCTATTGTGGAACTCTCTTTTGAACAGCATCGATCATTTACAGGAACTCAAAGAGCGTTCGCAGATTTTTCAATGCAAGAAATTCTCCCTCGGAAATGGCTCTACGCAATTTAATTGCACGTTTTCGAACACAGGGGTCTATAGCACAATATATCCCCTATAGTTATGTAACTGAAATTCAAGAAATGGCTTTGAGTTACGCTGCGGCCAGACACAGGTCTTATGGCGCTAGTATCGTTTTGAATTTTGACACGTCCAACATCGGCACGTTCATTGGTTGAAGAGGAAGTTTTTGACAAGTGAAGCATGAAGTGTCAGTATTGCCAAGTGATAATTTGTTGATTTTTTCGTTTTCGAAATTTACACCGTTTATTAATATTAATTTTATTTCAGCGATATTTATTGTGATTTGTGTTGTTGTATTAAGTTCTTACTTATTTAATATGGGAAACAAAACGTACAACAAACTCAAAAAAAGAGGAATCAAGGAGGGATTGCTATGGCTGTCATCCAAGGGTCTCCGCCCTAGATAATACTTTTATAGTGGGAAAAGCCTTTAATATTCAACTATAACAATTTTATGTTTCCGTTTTCCCTTCTTTTAATGTAGGTGCCAATTTTGAGGTAAGTTTGTAATAATTTTTCATATTTTTTTAGTTAATACCTACCTTCTTAATATTATAATTTAACTAAGATCTTATGATTTCCTATGGACACGATTCAAGGGGGAAGTCCTATGGCTGTCATCCAAGCCCTAGATAATAGTTTTCTAGTGGCAACAGCTTTTAAAATTCAAGTATAATAATTTACTGTTTCAGTTTTCTCCTTTTTCGAAGTAGGTGTCCATTTAAACTAAAAGACTTATTGATTTTAGCATTTATATACAGTATCGGCTAATAAACACTTTCCAATACACTTGGCTAGCATCGAAGAGAAAACTAAAGAGTTAGCGCATTAGTGTGATCAGGAAACGAATAATATGAATGTTGCCTTGTGTGCTGTGTAATATGATCAGGCATACGGTGCGATGTATCCCCACGGTGCGATGCATCCTTACGTAGCCGGCTGGCTACGTTCATAGTATTCTATTCCTTCTCCCACTAATGCTAACTCTTTGTAGTTGTACAACATTCGATAGCTGTCACTGTATTATCACAAACATCTCTTTATAACTAAATTATTTCATTTAATAGTTTCTTTTTTTTTTTTTTTCAGTTAAATGGATATGGCTAGAGTTTTCCTCGACTTTAAAATAAATTAAATAAGTTTTATAATTTTTCAAATAAAATACTTTATACAATTTTTTGTTTTTTTACCAGAGCCAATTTTTTTTTTCAGATCTAACCTCTATAGGTAAAAAATAAGTGATTCAGGTAAAATTGAAAAGTATATTACATGTTCTTTTAAATGTGTTATTAATCCAAATGCTGCTCTTATTGTAATAGCTAAAAATAAAAAAATCGTATTATTTTTAGCAATCAGAATAAGAATAGCGCCCGGATTTACAGCTCGTTTAATGGACATGCAATATACTTATCAATTGTTGCCGAATAAATATATTTCAAAATTCCCGCCATTCCGCGGCTGAAAATGTACAATTTTGGCGGGAAATTTAAATTTCGCCTTAAAATTATATTTGAATTTACCGCCATATCGAGTTAGTTGAGCGGCCAGACACATACGCATTTTTGCGCTGCAAACTTAGTGCCAACTCTTTAACAAGTGAGATGCACTACTATAGGGGATATATTGTGGTCTATAGCCGACCTCCCTCGGTCAAGTCGACTACGTACTTCCAGAACAAAACAAAACATTGAGCACGTAGAGGCCAGCATAGAAGATGATGCGGAAACATCGACAGACGCGGTTCTACTCAACTGGGGCTGTCTCGATCCAGTCTACATAGAATTTTAAAGCATTTACGCATGTCTGCCTAAAAAATACAGCTTGTCCATCAACTGCGTCCTATATTATAGACCGCAAACTGATTTTGCCATTTGTTTTTAAGAGAAGAAATTGATTTTCTTAACAGATTAATCATGAGTGACGAACCGCACTTTCACCTGAATAGATTTGTAAACAAATAAAAACTTTAGATTTTTGGGAAGGGAAAATCCAAGAGTGATTCATTGAGCGAGAACTTTACCCAAATAAATGTACAGTTTGGTGTGGAGTCACCAGCCAAAGCATCTTCTTCGAAGATGATGATGGCAATGCTGAAACTGTTACTGAAGAAAGATATAGACACATTCTCCAAAAAAATTTACATCTCGCTCTAAAAAAATTTCCAAATAATGTTTGAAATAATACATTTTTGTTTTCGATGTTATCAATTTGTGCAATAAAATTATTGATATATCTAACAAATACGTTTAAATGTGGAAACCTTTTTTATTATTGGTTTTGTGAAAAATTTTATTCTTGATTAAAAGTTTTGCACCATCCAAAACTTAAAATGCAATCATCAAATATCAATTTATTTAAGCCATATACGAGGTTTGTCAAGAAATATAAATTTTTCTCGGGAATAAAGTACCTTTATTTTTTACAATACAGAAGAATGTTATTTTAAATTAAAAGTTAAATTTAAATATTCAATTACAGTTCTTCAGCATGAAAATTCAGGTTAGGTGATTATTTACATTTTACATTATAAATTGTAGTAAAAAATTGAATAATCACCAAACCTAAATTTAAATTAAATGCTTAACTGTTGCAATTTCATATTTATTTGAATATAACTTTACTTTTGTATTGTAAAAAATATTTTCGTCTTTTTTTTGTATTTGTCATACAGTGTCTACTTAAGTTGAAACCATATGAAAAACTTTTTTTATTATTCCCTAATAACACTTATCTTCCAGAAACATCCCATACATGTCATATGTATGTTTCTGACATAAATGGTACATCCCTAAGATGTTTCTAAACCCACATAACATCAATGTTTTATGAATATACTAAAAACGTTCTATTTATGTCCTATTTATATTCTTTCTAGAATGTTCTTACAACATACCTAGTATATACTTTAAAAGTATATTCTAGAGAGTATATACTGAGTACGTGCTTTGAAAATTTATTTTAATATACATATATTGAGTACGTGCCTTAACCACGTGCTATAACAGGACATTCTTAGAAGATACTAAAAGTCATATATGCAGCATGTAGCTCATATTTTGAGAACGTTTTAAATGCTTACAGGTAAAAATTAACACCAAATACACGTAAAACACGTTTATATCCTTATCTATATGAATTTTTCCTAGATCTGATCTGATAATTCGCTAGGTAACACGTTTACAAACTTAATAGAAGAGAATGGCATAACCTTAAATTTTTTGATCACGCTTGATAATTTCAAATAGGTAAATAAATTAATATAAATCAATTGCATCGGTGTTCTATATAAAAACAAACAAATTTGCTGTATTTTTAATTTTTAGGACCTTTAAGTGGTACAGGGTATTCCAAATATTAATTTTCAAAGTGAATTTATTAATATGGTTAATAGTAATGGCGAATTAAAACTAAAATACAGTGTTACCAGAACTGTAACATCTCAAAAATGTTAGGGTCTGAGATAAGAATGTATTCTAAGAAAGTAGGGCAAGGTCTCTTATAATAATTCAACCCTATAATATCTCAAAATGATTATTTTTCTATTTATTTTAATAATAAATTACAAAATAGTAAAAAAAAATTTTACAAATTAGTAGATAAAAATCTTTAGAGTAATTTATTTCAAAATGGCTGATTTAGAGATGTTACACTTTTGAACTGGGACAGCGATATGCCTAGTATACAGGGTGGGCCACTTAAAAGTTCCACCCCCCCCCCTTATCTTCGTTATTCATTGAGATATCGAAATAATTATTTTCTTGTTTAAATGACTAGAACAAGTACTTTCTTGCGATGGATTCAATTATTCTGTGTATAACTTAAAATCGCAATTTATTTTTTAATTTAAAATCGAAACCTCTTTTTTGTTAAAAATTTGAATTACTGGGACAATATTGTACAAGAAGCGTATATTAAAAGTTTACTGTCAGCTGTTAAAATGGCCGCAATATTTATTAATATTTTTTCTAAACCTGTTACTATTAATTCGTTTTTGGAAAAAATATGGGAATGTATGATCTTTATAAAATCATCGTAAACTTTAAAATTATTAATAAGACCCACTTACTGTACACCAGTGGCGTATCTAAGCATTTTTATTATTAGCAAACCGTTTAATAATTCCATCCGCTTTTATCTTCGTTGTAAATTGAAATATTGGAACGAAAACTTTTTTGTTTAAAAGCTTGAAACAAATACTATTATTAAATACTCGATTCAATTAGTCTGTGACGTGTGTTGAAAATTTTCTGTCAGGTGTGAAAATGACAGTCATATTGGATAATAGATTTTTTAATATGTTACTGTTAATTCGCTTATGGAAAAAAATATGGGCATGTATAACATTTTTGTGAGCTTCAAAATTCTCATTAAGACCCACTAACATTGTACCAGTCGCGTATCTAAGATTTTTGTTATTGCAAACC